TCCCTCCCGAATGAAAACACCAACCCCGCCCTCCGCCGCCAGCCCGCTCCGCGCGCACTCCGCACCTGAGTGTTTCACTTCAGCGCTGCGCCTCCTCTGAGTCTGGGTATGATATTCTCTTTCCTCCTAGTTGTAGAATTTCCACTCAGCCAGCCTTCCTGTGTTTCTGGATGATGTCCATTCCGTCTTTTAGGTGTATTTTGATTTGGTTGTTCAAGGCAGCAATCTCCTGCGTTAACCTATGCCGCCATCTTGGTTTTCTCTTCCTCAACTACCACCATTTCTGATACATACATGCAGACACAATACATGTCTCTCCTTAAAGAATATAATTACTAGTTAATTTATATTTATTAGTATTATTCCAGATATTCCCGCAGACTGTTAAGTTCTTTAATCTAGTTTCTTGGAGTAAATGCAAAAAGTAAAACTTTATTAAAACTGACTAGATTCTTTTTAGAGAACCATATCTGCTAAATTTGATGTGTTTTTTGAATGAAGACTAATTTTTTATTTAAAAGACTAATATTTTGAGAGGAAAGTTAATAGGATTTTAGGTTGCTCATAAATTTTATTAATTCTATTTAAGATTTTTCATTTATAGCTATGAATTGGGCAAAGGATATTTTTATGATAAAATTTTATATGGCTTTTTGCTTAGACCTGATGTGTTAAATGTTTATATTATAGAAAATTTCAAGTATATAAATATATAGTGGTATAATGAATCATCATGTACTAATCACCCAGCTTCAACAATTATGATAATATTTTAAGTCTAGGACAATATTGTCTTTGAATTAACACTGACTTGTTGAATTCTTGGAGATTTGACTTAGAGTTACTGCTTTATACGTAAAAACAGTTAATTTCATTCTTTGGTTGTATTCACAGAATGAGCATAAGGATTATTTTGTATGTGGTGTCAAATTGCCCAATTCTGAGGACTTCCAAGGTATTTTATTTCTTTTACTTCTAAGTATTTGCTGTGTATAGCATATGAGTATGTTGCAGGGAAAAATAGAGATATCTTAAAATGTTGTTGCCTAGCCTTTCACCAGACGGTCTTGGACCTTTTGTCCCTTCCCAGTTGTAAGTGTATAGATTCAGATTCCCTGATAAACTTAAAAGGCCATTTGGTCTAATCATGGGGAAAAAAATAGTTGCACATTATATTTGAAACTTAAAGGAAAATATTTTTTAAAGGGCTTTAAGAAAATTAGACAGTGGGGTACGTAAGAATACTTATATCCTCCCTATTCTTTTGCTTTTATTTTCATGACAGATTTGTATGTGGTTGGGAGCAGAGAATAACAAACATTAATCTGTTGTTATTTAGAAAATCATATTTCTGCTGATGTGAAGTGTATTTGGAAATTTAATTTTTTTACATTCCCACTATGACAGGTTAAAGTTGTTCTGTCAGTTCTGTTCTCTTTTAATTAAAAAATCTATATTAAAGATAATATATACCATGATTCATAGTAATTGCTGATTTTAAAATATTTAATTTTCCTATTCTCTTTACCAGTATGCCAAAGAAAAGAACTTGGCAATAAAATATTTGCCAATAATTTTTTATTGTTAGCAAAGTAGCATTTCCCCCCTAGTCTACACAGTGCTTTAGGCCTGTTAAATATCTTTATAAATTATTTTCAAAGCTAGCATATTATCTATTTGGGAAGAAGTTATTAAATATAGAGCATTACCAGTTTTGGTTGGGGTGTCCTTCCATTTCCCTATTAAGGAAATATTGTTATGTATGGTCCTTTAACATTTAAGACTATTTTAATTTATTACCTCTATTGGCCTTTACAGCAACCCTTACTACAAGTAGTTGGGACATGATAAAAGAAGAGTGATAAAACAGGAATGGAAAAACCTGTATTCAATCCTTGTTCACTTTCTAGAAACCATGTAATTTGGAGCAAGCCATCTAAGCTTTGAGTTGATTTCCTAATTGATAGTATGAACATATTAATTCATGTTGTGAGATTATATCTATAAAAGCATGATATTTTGCCTTATCTTTAATCTTTACAAAAACAAACATAGGAAACCCCTAAGGAAGGTGGTACAGTCTCATTTACAGTATGTAAATGAGCTATTCAGTGATTTGCCAGAGACCACAAAGCTAGGTAATAATCTAGCTGGGATTTGCCTGGTTTTCATTGTGCAGTGTTCCTTCCAATTTCTGTAAGACATACAAATGTGCTTTCGTGTTGATTTTAGGCAAAGTTAAAGTCTTAAAGCCCATGACATATCTTTTTCCTCATTCATCTATTTACAAAGCTACTGAGTACCTTGAGCCCTGTGCCAGGTTCCAGGGATACAGAACATTCATTTATTGAAAAAATATTAATTCAACTCAGGTACTGTGCTGAATTTTGAGGATATGATGATAGAAAAATATGTTCTCTCCTTTCATGGAACATACACCGCCTATTGAGCTAATAAATAAGAAATAAGTATGTAACAAGTGTTTAGTAAAGGAATATGCTATCTTAGACAATAAAGGAACCTACGTTAGATAAAGCAGAGAACAGCTCTCTGAGGAGAAGCATTTAACAGAAAATTTGAAGCTGAAAGGAGTCAACTATATTACACTTGGGGAGAGCATTACTTAGAAGAGGGGCAGCAAGTACAAAGGTCAGGATGCAGTAATGGGCTTGATAAATATAAAAAAACTCAGAGTGAGCGGATTGGGAGAAAAGACCTGTATTTGGGGCAGTCATGTAATCTCTCAGAGCTTACTTTCTTGACCTGTAAAAAATGAGGTAATATCTACATCTCCAATTCATTGTGATGATTGAATGAGATAACGTTTGAAAATGCTTTTCCTTTTAATGTGCTCATATAAATGCACTTGAAATTAGTTACAAGAGAGAGGAAGGAAAGAAGGAGAGGGAAGGAAGCAAGGAAGGAGGGGAGGGAGGGAATTGATCCCAAATCAGACCTATGTGGCTGGGGCATAGTGAGCAAGAGGTTGAGTTATATCAGGAGAAATAGGAAAGGTCAGCCAAGGCTCTGAGGCCACTGTAAGGAGTTTAATATTTTATTCTCAGTTGAGTGGGAAACCCCTGAACGGTTTCAAAAGGGGAATTATATGAGCTGATTTATGTTTTTAAAGGTTACTCTGGCTGCTAAAAGCAGAATGATTTGAAGGGAGGCAGTTTTAGGAATGTCAGTCTTGGTGACTGTCACCTTAACCCACTCTGGGACATTTCTTGATTCTGTTTTTGTTTCCTTTGACGTTGTTTGTTTCCTAGTTTTTCATAGCTTTTATTAGTTACCTGTGCTTTGTGTATGCCCAACAAGCTGAATAAATTCTTCATACTCTTTAAAATAGAAGTTCAGCTTTTTAGTGCGGTTGCTGAAAAGTGAAATGGGAGATAAAATGAAATAAGTATTTACTTTCACTCTAAGGCCCTAGTCATGCCCCATAACTCCTAGGAATCAGACATTTTAAGAAGCACATATGGTGGTATTGGACTTTAGAATTGTATGTTAGCATTCTGCAAGGCATTTCCATATACTCAACTTACTGAGTGCCCTGTGTGTGTCACCTACTGTGCCAGGTGCTGAGGATATATAAATATGATTAAGACATTGATCCTGCCTCAGTGAAGTTTCAGTCCAGTTGAGGCTATCCCACTTGTAATCAAGCCAATCAAGAAATATTTACTGCATTCATACTCTGTGTCAGGCATTTAGAAATTGTCCCAGGTACATGAGACTCAAAGAAGTGGGCATAATCAGTCTATCAGGAGGGGATCAGAAAAGCCCTTTTAGCAAAGATGGTGGCTGCGGTGTCTTAAAAAAATGAAGTAGTATTCCCCTGTTGAGAGAAGGGTAGCAGGACATTTTAGATTGGGTGAGTAGAAATATGATAGCAGGGAATATCATGCACAATGCTATCTTGTTAATTAAATGTTCTGTGAGGGAAGAAATTACATTCCATTTTTTTTTAAAGACAAGAAAATTGAGGCTCAGAGAGATTAGTTAATTTTTCCAAAGACTCATGCTAACCAGTGGCAGAACTAAAGTCATCCCTGGTCAGCCCGATTTTAAGGTACATATTATTCCTGTCATGATGCACTTTTCTTCCTTGTTTTGAGTAATAACTTCTTCCAAACTTCTGCCAGCCTGTAGTGTTCTGTAACAGATGCATTCTCGGTGAGACTCTAGTGAAGGAATTCCAAACTGGTTATCCTATGTGATTCGTGAGACTTTGCTGGGATAGACTTACATTACATGGCTTAATACTGTTAGGGAAACTCCACCACAGTGGCCCAAAATTTACTGTGCCTTTCTAAATGGGTAACTTACTGTCAGAGTATGTCAAAGAGACCTGCACCCAACGGGAGTAAGTTGTCCGGTGAAGGTATTCATTTGAGTTCCATTGACAGAGACATTTCTTGTATATAAAAAAAAAAAGTTTGTGTGTCTTTTTAAGTAATCCATAACACCAGAGCCTTTTGTGGTAATGAGACCCAGATTTCCTTCTGTGTCTGTATCCCTTTATGCAGGCATGATTTCTTGGAAAGGAGAGTCCATATGTCAAACAGTGTCTCATTGAGAACATGGAATGATTCCATAGATGCTGTGGCAGTGATTAGAGTCTTAAATATTTTGTCCTGTCTGGATCAGTGGGTGCTTGGTTCCTTATCGAATCAGCTGCCTCAGTGATTGGGAAGGCAGGATGGTAAGAGCTTTTAGATCACTATTGTACACGGATGCATTTGAACATTGATAGTTTGTCCAGCATTTAAGTCAAAGAGACATTTGAATTAATTTATAATGTTGTCATGGAGAGTGTGTATTTGTGGAATTTATTATCAAAAAGTTACACAACAGCTGCAACCCTTTGTAACCACCAGCATTTAAAAAACAAATCAGAAATATTTATTATGAGGAAATTGCAGATTTTTATTTTGTTTGAAGCCACTTAAAACATTGTGTTTTTTTTAGAATTTTTTTTAATGTATCTGAGTCTTACAGTTTATTCCTGTTCCTCCCTGAACTCCTCCTCCAACTTCTCACCAACAAAACTATCATCTGTGACCTTTCTAACCCCCAGAGCAGCACAAGGAACACAGACAGACCTCTGCTCTGCATTAGGTGTTAGGGACGTCATTAATGCTTACTGGAAAAGTACACCCCAGAGAGCCAGGTTTTGGCTTTGGCAGGTAAAAAGTCTTTTAGATCTTGGAATGCTGGAAACCTTAAACCTTTTGGTTTTTTAGCTAAAGTGATTGGCAACAGAATGTGACATCTGAGGTTTTGTGGCCAGCAATAGCCATAATTAACCACATGAGCTCACATTTTCCCACTGGAGGTTCAGTGGTCTTGGGGTGATGAAAGTGACTTCCCTACCAGGAGGTGGTTTTCCTTTTGAGGGTATTGGAATACCCTTGGGCCCTGTAATGCCTCACCCGTGGTCCTTTTAAAATGTTTTTTAATATAAAGCTTTAATATTGGAAATCCAACACCCTGGTGTTTAACAGTGAGGCTGTGACTGAGCACTATGGTCTGGAAGAGGAAACAACCTGGGGTTTTTAATAGGTGGAACGGGGAGTCTTGTGGTGGAAACGGTGGTGAGTGTGAATAACCAGAATCAAAGCTAATTTCCAATATTACCCAGTTTCTAGTTTTTGCTATTTCTTTTGGTTTTTAATTTGCATATGTAGGCTTCTTGGAGATACCCTTTTATCATTAAATTTAAGCAAACTTGTTTCGATCATTGAAAAGAGGTGATGTTAGAAGACCAATTTTTGTTTTTTTAATAGCTATGTGGATGTAGTCTCAAAATATGCAAATGTAATTCTTTAGTATCACTCCTTTAGTAATATGGAAAAAAGGTAGATGCTTGAGTGTTTCGCATTGGAGAATTGTTTTTTTAAAACATTTGTAGTTTGCGTTTAACCTCTTTGGGAGGCCTTCTGGAAAAGAGGTGATGTTAGAAGACCAATTTTTGTTTTTTTAATAGCTATGTGGATGTAGTCTCAAAATATGCAAATGTAATTCTTTAGTATCACTCCTTTAGTAATATGGAAAAAAGGTAGATGCTTGAGTGTTTCGCATTGGAGAATTGTTTTTTTAAAACATTTGTAGTTTGCATTTAACCTCTTTGGGAGGCTAATTAAAAGGCCTTCTGTTGCTTCTGTCAGGTCATATAGGAAAGAACAAGTTTAGTGTGAAGCACATACAGGAAAGTTCAAATTTAGGGCTTACAGATTCTTCATTATTGTAAGCCCTCTTCTTCATCTCCTCTCCCTTCCAAAGAAGGCTCTTAAAGACCAAGTCCTTGGGTATTTTATGTTTGATAAGCCTCTTTACAGATTCAGCAACCTCTGATACAGCTCAACATTCCAGCTGTGACTCCACAGATAGATATTTTGGGGGCCTGGGTATAGACACAGTTCTCCCTCTTATTCCATCACTCATGGTTTTTATCTGTATGGCTTTGCCTAAGCAACTTATATCACCTAGATCTCATTTTCTTTTCATCTCTAAATGGATAGCATTAGACTCAGTGGTTTTTAAGGTTTCTCCTAGCTCTAATGTTACATGATGATTAAATTGTAAATGTGATTACTTTACAGTGTAATGTAATGTTAGTCTAGAAGGTAGTGTGATATACAGATTTCAATAGAAGCAGAGTGCTGTGGTACTCAAGGTACTTGGGTGGGACTGGGACAAGAGGACAAGGTCTTTAAAAATAGGAATAAAAATAGGATTCTAGTCAGTTAGGACATGACTCAGAACTGTCAGTTGAAATGAATGCTGTTTGAAATTTTTTTCATCAGTTTAATTTGAGAGAACATCAAACATTGGTTGAGAAGTCCATTCTCTGTCTGGTACTATACAAGCCACTGAGGACTCACAGACTTTTTATATGTTCTTTGCCATTCATAGAAAAGAGCAAAGAAACTCAGGTGGTACATGTGTGTCATATGCTTGATATGTTCTAGGCTTCAAGTTAAAAAATTTATTCCACAGTTACGTTCTGGGACAGTATGCTAGAATGCCTAGAGGACAGAGACAGTGTCAAGTCACCTGTATACCAGCCGTATTACTTGGACAGGTTTCTTACCTTCTTTGAGCCTTCATTTCTTAAGCTGCAAAATGAATGACATAGCATATAAAAAGTCCCCAGTTTAGTAACTATTGATGAATGAAGGACTGTCACAAATAAAGTGTTATGGTCAATTCTGGTGGAAGAAAAGTATATCATAGAAGTTACCTATTTTTATAATATGATTCAAGAGAAACCAAGGGTCTGCTATGGCAATCAAGGGTAGAGAATTCACTGAGGACTAGATGGCTACTAGTATAATAGCATTTCTACAACAAGAAGATAATGCTTAGATAACTAAGTATAAATATAAAAGAAGAATGTGAGTAATATTACTAATAATTGAAGTTAAATGTACCCTTAGAAATCAGAAAATATTCAAGCCAAGGCCATCTCAAGTATTTCAGCCTTTCTTTGGTTGGAGGTATTCCAGATGATGTGTGAATTCTTTTAGTATATGTGCACGTGTGTGGGTGTTTGTGTGTGAAATTTTTTTAAGTATTTTGGGAATACCGTATACCAAACAGTTACTTTTTTCTTTCTCCTGGTTCAAGTTTAAACTTTTTGTTGTATTACTCTGTTTTGAGTGCCTAATTGATTATCACTTGGTAGGTGGTAGCAGAAATCTGGTTAGTGAGTTAAAAATGTAATTCTGTGACTTCTTAAAAGATAGTTACTTATGTTTGACTGGAGGATGCATGCATTTTTCAACAGTTGCTTCCATTTAATTGCATAAATAGGATATATTAATAGTATGGCTTTTTAGTTTTTTGCTTTTACTATTTAAAACATTTCCCCCCTTATTATATTTCAAACTTTATCAACTTATTTATGCAACACTATCTTCATGAATATTGAGAACATACCCTATAAAAGATTATGCTATTTCACTTCATATTAGAATTCGTAATGCTGTATAGTAGTATAGCAGCACCACTATATTGCTTATAAGTTGTTAATGAATAAAATGTACAGTGCTTATATAATGAGTTATGTTTAAACCTCTGAAACTAACTTTCACATTGTATAATAGACTCAACTATTATTTCTACCTTTAAAAATGCTGGGGAAGGAAGTAATGAATATTTGAATATATTAAGAATTCTTTAAATATATATCAAATGTTAATCTCACCACATTAATTATTGGGAAATAGTTTTGAATATAGTAAAGTAAATTTTAAGTGTGTTTAGATTTGTCTAAAATTCATATAATTGAATTAAGTTTATAATATAAATGTATAATTGAATTTAAGATTATAAATGTAAACTATGTAATTTAGATAAGATTAATATTTTATTTACCAGTTATTTCTTAATAAAATCTCCTTTGAAATTGATTCATTATGATCTCATAGCTACATTTAGAAGGTAAATAATTGTTTTCTTCTGCTTTTAATCTACAGCAAAAGATGATGGAAGCATTGCTGTTGCCCTTGGTTACACTGCACATTTGGTCTCCATGATTTCCTTTTTCCTGCAAGTGCCCCTTAGATATCCTATAATTCATAAGGGATCTAGATCAACAATCAAAGATAATATCAATGACAAGCTGACAGAAAAGGAGAGAGAGTAAGTATCTTTTTAAAATATATTTTTAATATCAAGCCAGTATAAAACATGGAGTATATTAAAAACATAAAATGTGACTTAGATTGTAGTAATTTTTATATATACTTTGTAAAATTCTGTTTCTTTTATTTATTTATTTTTAAAATTTTTTTATTGATTAAGGTGTCCTTATCCCCCCAATTCCTCCCCCCTTGCTGTCTCTCACCCCCTTGTTGTCTGTTTCCATTGGTTAGGCTTATATGCATGCATACAAGTCCTTTGGTTGATCTCTCCCCTTTACTTCCACCCTCCCCTACCTTCCCTCTGAGGTTTGACGGTTTGATTGATGCTTCTCTGTCTCTGGATCTGTTTTTGTTCATCAGTTTATGTTGTTCATTATTTTCCACAAATGACTGAGATCATGTGATATTTATCTTTCTCTGACTGGCTTATTTCGCTTAGCATAATGGTCTCCAATTCCATCCATGCTGTTGCAAGTAGTAAGAATTCCTTTCTTTTTTACCGAGCATAGTATTCCATTGTGTAGCTGTACCACAGTTTTTTAAACCACTCATCTGCTGATAGGCACTTAGGCTGTTTCCAGATCTTAGCTATGGTGAATTGTGCCGCTGTGAACATAGGGGTGCATATATCCTTTCTGATTGGTGTTTCTAATTTCTTGAGATATATTCCTAGAAGTGGGATCACTGGGTCAAATGGGAGTTCCATTTTTAGTTTTTTAAGGAAACTCCATACTGTTTTCCACAGTGGCTGCACCAGTTCTGTTTCTTTTAAATAGAATATAGTCATTCATTCATTTAGATTGTAATGGATCTACTCCTGCACTTGTTAAAGTTGCTAATCATAGCAAAATTGACTCATTTAAGTTTAATTTGCTTTTGTGAGGACAAGTATAATAATTCTGCAGATATTCATATAGTACTTCTTTCCTGTTAGTCAACAAATGAAAGAGGTAAAAGATTTATCAGAAAGACAACCAGGAAAAGAATGAGAGACTTAACAACAGATTGTTCATATCTGAAAAATGGATTAGTAAACTGGAGGATATGTCAGTAGAAAATATCCTTACCAAAGCACAAAAAAACAAAAAAGATGTATTGTATAGAAATATGCTAGACATGTGTAGGACACAACCAAAAGAGCTTATATACTTATAATTGGAGTCACAGGGGGAAAAAAAAGGCACACAGGATAAATGCAATATTTTAAGAATCAATGACAGCATTTTTCAAATTGAACAGGCATCAAGCTACAAATTCAAGAAACATTAAATATAGCATAAAGTAAATACAGAGCCAAAGTACTTAGGGAAATTATTGTGAAACAGCTGTAAACCAAAGACAAAGTGAGAATATTAAAAGTAATTAGGAAAAAAGACAGACTAAGTGTCAAAAGAGCAATAATAAGACTGAAAGCTCATTTCTCAATGGAAACATTGAGAGCCAGAAGTTGATGCAATGACATTTTAAAAGTACTGTAAAACAATGTTGCCAATTTAGAATTCTATACTCAGTGAATATATCCTTCAAAAGTAAAGGCAAAAATAACATTTCAGACCATCACAACTGAGAAAATACCTATACTAAGGGGAAATACCTAAAAGCAGAATAAATAATCTCACACAGAAATTTGGAAATGCAAGAAGGAACAAAGAGTAAATATGAGTATGTCTAAATTAATTTAGACTAAAAAGAAAAGGGGAATATCTTATTATGTATAATATATTTAGAATTGTAATGATTGAGTAACACAAAAGTTGGGAAGTAGAAATGGAGTTAAAGTGTTCTAAGATCCTAGTATTATCTGGATTTTGGTAAAATTCTAACTTATATTAGACTCTAATAAATCAAGGATACATGTTATAATCTCATAGCAAAAAGTAATAGAGGAGATAAATGGAAAAAAATTAAATACTTGATTAATCCAAACGAAGGCAAGAAAAGAAAGGAAAATGAACATTAATTTCAAACCTAAACAAATAGTAAATTTGTAGATATGAACTCAAACTTATTCTGTAATTACATTAAATGTAAATGTTAATAAATATTGTCAGGCTGAATAAACATATGAAAAAATGCTCAATGTCACTAATCATTAGAAAGATGCAAATTAAAACCACAATGAGGAATGGCTACCATCAATGAATCAACAACTAAGTGCTGGTGAGGATGTGGAGAAAAGGGAACCCTAGTATTCAGACAGTGAAATTTAAAAAGTGAAATTTAAGGTAATTAAGTGGGACATTTTATGATAACGCAGTCAATTCCAAATATATATGTAGTTTTATAGATGAATACTTTTTTTGAAAAAATTTAGGAAAAAAATAAAATATTGGATGATAATGTTTGTCTTTCTTCAGATAAATTTCACTTTAGAAACCCTCCTTTTATTGTAACCCAGTTTTAATTAATCAAAAATGTCATTGCAACTATTAAATTCTTTGCTTGTAATGTATGTTTGTGAGATAATGAACCATTTTTTTCCCTACTGTGTAAATGACACTATGGAGACTAATAAGCACTTTTATAAGTGGTAAAACTCTTTTAGGTCACTGGGATACCTCTCAGGAAATTAGCAAAATAAGTAAAATATATATATTTTACAGCCATAACTTCAAATATTTAGATAAAAGTTAACAGAACTACAAGGAAATCCACAGTCATAGCAGAGAGGACTTTAAATTTCCTTTCTTTAGCTATTAGAATAAGCAGACAAAAAAAAAATCAGAATCTAAAAGACCTGAATAGAACAATTAGTAAGCTTGGTCTAAGTTATAGGTAAAAAATATTGCACCAAAGATTATAGGATATACATTCCTTTCAGACACACTTGGAACATTTACTAAAATTGATTATGCTTGGCTTCAACAAATTTCATAATATTAAAGTAATTCATAATGTTTACTGACCACAGTGAAATTTACTAGAAATCAATAATCCCTAAATATGTGTATATTAAATAGTATACTTCTCTTTAACCTATAGACTAAAGAAGAAATTATAAAGGAAGTTTGAAATTATTTAAAACAATAATAGAATACAGCATATGAAACTTTGTAAGGTGCAGCTAAATCTTTGCTCAGAGGGAAATTTATACCCTCAATTGCATATATTAGAAAAAAAGAAAGATGTAAAAATTAATCATCTGAGTCTCCTGAAACATCTAGAGAAAGAAGAGGTAGTTAAGTCCTATGAAAGTAGTATGAAAGAAATAATAAGATAAGAGCAGAAATTAAATGGACAGCTGTACCTTAAAAAATAATACAGGCAAGAGTTCTAGTCTGAAACAACTAGGAATTGATAAGCCCTCAGGAAGAACTATTGAGAAAGAGAAGAGACAGGCAAAATAACTAATATAACTGAAGAAAAAAAGGTGTCATTACAGATATACAGACATTAAAAGATAGGATCTTATAAACAACTTTATGCTAATAAGTTTGAAATTCAAATGAAATGGATAAATTTCTAGAAAAACAGAACTTTCCAAAACTGATACAAGAATGATTAGAGTTTAGAAAGCACTACACTTGGCTAAAGGGAAGTGGTTATAAAACATTCTAGCTAAGTTATTCTCAACCCTGACTGCTATACACTACTGTCATCTGGGAAGTTTTGAAAATGACCTCCTAACCTCCAGATTCTTGGCCTCTCCCCCAGAAATTCCGATTCAGTTGATGGAGCCCAGACATGAGGCGTTTATTTTTTAAACGTTCCCGGAAGTGATTCTGATGTGCAGTTAAAGTTGGGATCCCCTGTTGTAGATTGAGAGATTGTTGTGTCCATGGGCATGAAGAACTGAATGCCCTCTACCCTGTATAGGAAACTGCAAGAGCAAAGGCAGGAAAGGTGGGCCCAATGGAATAATTTAGTGCTGTATCTGGGACAGTGACTCTCAGATGGTAAGTGGTGAGCAGGGAGTACATGTATAGTATAAGCCAGTGCCTTTCAAAGACATCAGTTGATTAGTTTATAACCCAAGTGTTCTTTTAAATTTTAAAAACATTTAAAGAGAGTCTGAAATGTATATGTTTGACAGAAGGGGATATGGGTATAATTTCTTTTCTTGTTTTAAAAAATTGAAGTGTAATTCACATAAGATTAACTTTTTAGTGTTACAACTCAGTGGCATTTAATCTTTCACAATGTTATGGAACCACCAACTCCTCTAGTTCCAAAACATTTCATCACCCCACAAGAAAACCCCATTAAACTGTCACCCATATCTCCCCAACCTGCACCTTGTTTCCTCAGCCTCAGGCACATATCATCTGCTTTCTGTCTGTATGGATTTACCAATTATGGATATTTCATATAAATAAAATCATGCAATATGTGACCTTTCTTGTAAAGGTTTTTTTCACTCAGTCTAATGTTTTCAAGGTATATCCACATTGGAGCATCATTAGTACTTTATTCATTATTATCCTATCTAATAATAGAGAAACATGGTAATTAACTGTAACTTCACTACACTCCTTATTGGCTAATCAGGGCGATATGCAAATTAACTGCCAGCCAAGATGGTGGCTGGCAGCCACGCAGCTGAAGCAAACATGAGGCTTGCTTGCTCCAGTGATGGAGGAAGCCAAGGTTCTCCGCCTGCCACGGCCCGCCCTGAGCTCCAAAAGCAACAATGATTCAATTATAGAAGCTAAACAAACCCCAGATACCTGCTTTCAGCTGGCCACAGCCTCAGAGCTGGGAGCGCCAGTGATGGCAACAATGTTTCAATTGTAGAAGGTAAATAAATCTCGGAAAAAAAAAAAAGAAAAAAAGGAGAGGGTGGGAGCTTCAGTCCCAGGCCAGCCTGAAAACGGCCCTCAGCCCCTCACCCAGACTGGCCAGGCACCCCAGTGGGGACCGCCCGGGACCCTCTCCTGCCTCCTCAGCAACGCTAAGGATGTCCGACTGCAGCTTAGGCCTGCTCCCCGCTGGCAAGTGGACATCCCCCGAGGGTTGCTGGGCTGCCAGAGGGATGTCTGATTGCCATCTTAGGCCCAG